CGAGCACTTTTGAATAGTTCACTATTCTTCTCCTGAAGAAGAATAGTCAGCTATGCAAAAGTGCTTGAGTTTTGGGCATTATTTTAAGTCTATTAATATATATATACAATGCCTTCCAAAAGTCTTCACCCCTCCTGTGCTGGTAATCAATTTTAGTTATTTTCTTGTGAAAGACAACTCAAATGGCCAAAAATATTTATTATTTTAATCTCAGACCAGTTTCTAATGATTACAAAGAACAGAAGGTGCATTGTTACTCATTTAGTGATATAACACAAAAAATCTTGAAAACACGTGTTGCAAAAACCTTCACCCCCTAACATGATTATGTAGTTAATATTTGGTGGTTGAAGCTCCTTTGGCAGCAATGACAGCTGAAAGTCGTTTTGGATAACCCTCCACAAGCTTTGCACAGTATGTTGGAGATATTTTTGCCCACTCCTGCTTGCAGGTATCCTCCAGTTCTTGTAAATTGGAAAGATGCCTCCAATGCACAGCAATTTTCAAGTCTCTCTGTCTTACCAAAAAAAGCAATAATTCAAAAAGTAGAAGTCAGTAAACAGATTTTTCTCAAAGGTGCATCCAACATTTTACATTAACTATTCTAGAACAGCCATACTTTTCTGCGTATGTCATAAGGTTTTTCTGAGTTGCATTCAAAATGTAATTAAACTCCTTTTTTGTGATGGTATACAAATACATTTTGCATAAAAATATAGCTAATAATCAAAATTTTAACATTATATAAGTTTTAATTTTTAATTTTATAAGGAAATATTAGAAACAAAAACATGAATTTCCCCTAGTATGAGAATTGGGACGTTTGGTTTTTAGGCATCCCTTTTCTCTATTTATTTACCATCCCTCCAAGAAGTATGAAATTTGATGTTAACTAAACATTATAATGTACACATCACTCAGGCAAAGCATAATTCTTATAGTCTTTAATCTTATTTGGTTACAGAACCATGAAGTAGAAAATCAGACCCCACTTGCCATGCTCACTTGTTTCATCCTTTCTTTCAGAAATTGCCAATAGTTCTCTCTGAGGTTTAATACTGTATTATTTATAACCAATAGAAAGCCAAGGTTTTAATCTATCCATATTACTTTGTTTTCTGCACAGAGTATTTTCTATTTTGCTATCAGTTCAAGCTTTATTCCCACAGGAAGCACATCGACTAGCTTAGCTGAATTTTAAATGGCTCTTTCCACATAATAAAAAAGCTAGAAAAATTGTGATAGTAATGGAATATTGTCTGCTTTTTGCATGTTATTATTCTGTGTTCTTTGGTGCATTATTTAATTAACTAAAAAAATATTTAGTGCAGTAGTACCATTATTATAAAAAGTAGGGTTAAGTGTCATTGACAGTCAACAAAAAAAAAGATCCAGATAAGTATAAATTGTCTTTCATGTGTATTCTTTATATGCTATTTTAAAAGAAACTAAAATGTAACAGTTGGAAACTTTATAAGTTGGATATGGCTGGATTAGGAAAAATAAATAACAATAATAAAAATATTTCATGAGGTGTGCTTGCGAGTAGTCTGTGCATTGTGTAATTTGATAGGGTAACATAAGCTCCATGTTTGCCAACTGATTTACACATTTTATGATGGGAATATTAATTTAGTCATGGTTCAAAGGGCAGTAAAATTTAAGTATAATCAGATGTATACTGTTATGAGTTTAAAACTATTTAGGATACACAAATGTATGCTCACAAGCAGCTCATGCTTTGTGTCACTCAATACTGTAACGTGAGTTACACTTTTGTTGAGTGATTTACAACTCGTATAGCACAATTATTAGTTAGACATGCCAATGAAACAAAATTAAATACACGCAGATGCATACTATTATGAGCCTTGAGCTATTTAGCATAAACATTGTTGTTTCACGTTTCAATTTGAAGTCATTCTAGAAGAAAAAAAAAGGTAATGTAGATTTATTTAGAATTTTTCTTTGGTGGTTATGAGGTATAGAGTAAAAGTAGAGAAAATAACAGATAAAATATAAAGTTTTATAATTATTTAGTAGGTGTTATGAATTACACAAATGAAATTTGAAAATTTTTAGATGAATAAAAATATTTTAAAATCTTAGCATGAAAATCACTTTACTGAAAGTCTGCCAAAGCTTGTGATAAAACATATGTTGTATTAATAGTGATAGTATGTAAACTGTAATGAGTACAAAATAGTTACAAACTCAGTCAGTTTGACTGAGCCTGTGTGGAAAGAATTAACAGGTTTAATGTTTTTGTTTTATTTTAGATAGCAGCTGTTTGTGAATTCTTTTGCTACCTGAGATACATTCAACAAGGGCTGGTCAAAAGTGGTAGTAAGTATGTCTTATTTTAATAAATCAAATTAATCATGTCCCAGATTTTTAACAACTGTTTGATCTAAAACTAATAAAGCCATTTCTAAAATTAAAAAAAAGAACTGACAAGAAGTCTATAATGTCATATAAAATCATATAATTTAATACACAAGAAAGTAAAAGCATTTAATAATTACAATGCATTGATATATCAGTTAGGCACTCTCACCAGTAACAACATTTTTGAACATAATTGCAATAACATTTCATAAGGTTTGACCACCATATGAGATTTGGGTTAGTCCTAAATTTGTATATTAAGATAATGCAAAATAATTTTCAGAAGTGCAAAGTCAATAATAAAAATAATAATATTCAAAAGTATTTGAACACTATAACCAGTAATATATCTGAAACTAAAAACAACAATGATAAATGGGGCATGTCATTATTTATCCAATATAAAAAAATGATTAACTCTTCCCATATGGGGTTGGTTGATGAGACTGACCTCATAACCACAAAATAACCATCACAGTTTCCATAGTATATCTTTTAATATGTTTTGTATATCTTCACAAAATTTGGCAAGCTTTTAGTAAACATTACAAATCTTTTTGTACACAAAAAATCAGATCTTTTAATGAAGTCTTTTTGCTGAAGATTTGGCCATGAATATGTGGTGTAAAGTGATTTTAATGCTAAGATTGAAAAACTATTTTTCTGCATCTGAAAATTTTCAAATTTCATTTGCACAACCTCTAAAATCTCCAACATAAATATCAAACTTTTTTTTGGTAAAACTATATTTTCTGTGTTATTTTCTCTACCATAACTATATGGACACAGTCGATTTGACTGACCTTGTAACCACCATACAAAAATACGAAATATATCTGAATTGCCTTTTTTTTCTTTCTAGAATAACTACAAATTGTAACGTGAAACAACAATGTTTATCCTAAATAGCTCAAGGCTCATAACAGTATGCATCTGTGTATATTTAATTTTGTTGTTTTATTGGCATGTGTAATTAATAATAATGCTATACGAGTTGTATAGTTACCATATTGAGTGACACAAAGCATGAGCTACTTGTAAACATACCTTTTGAAGAATGTTTTTTCTTTATCTCACCTAACCTAACACATTTCTAATTTTTACATTTTAGTTACCTTTATAATAATAAAAAAAAATATACATGAAAAACAAGAAATATAGTACTTACCTTTAACCTCGTTTTTTTTTTGCTGTCAGTTATCAATGAAATTTAAGTCTACCTTTTTATGCTAGTGATACTTGTACATTAAATAATTTTTATTTACTTTAATAAAGCTCCTAAGAACACAGAATAACAACACACACAAAGCAAACAATGCCCTATAACTATCATAATTTAATAGGCTTTCTGACTATGGCAAAAGAACCTTAAAATAATTATCTAAGCTTGTTGATCTGAACACTGCATGATAAACTTTCAAACTGAAGATGAAGTAGACAATGCTTTGTACCGGAAACAACATATGTCATTTAATAGATTCAACTTTGGCTTTCTATTGGCTATAATTTTTGTAGTATAAAACATCAGAGAGTGCTAATTTGGGAAAGAGAGGTTGTGACAGGTGGGAATGGCAAGTGGGTCTGATTTTCTAGTTTATGATGCCATAAACAAATAAGATTGAAAACTTAAAAAATTAGACTTTGCCATAGTAATATCTATATAATGAGTAATTTACATTAAATTCTGTACTTAAAAGGGTGATAAATAAATTTGAGAAGACCTACAAAACATATGTCACGATTCTCGCACTTAGAGAGTTTGGGGATTTTTTGAAATATTTCCATATAAAAGTAAGAAGTTAAAACTTGTTTTAAAATTTGACTTATTAACTGTTTTGATGCCAAGTTTATTTGTATACATTGGAAATAAAATAGTTCAATTAAATTTTGAATGTAACTCTAAAAGGTTGTGACATGCACACTTTGACCTACGCATAGCAAGTGTGTTAAAGAAAATAATAATTTAAAAATTACTAAAAACTATAACTATATTGATAACTTTTTTTTTTTTTACTTTTCTCAGTGTTTACAAGTTAAAATGATAAATAAAATTGAATAACAGCCAGATTGCCATGAACAATCTATTACATTGGAATTCATCAACAACATTTTAAAATATATAATGTAAAATTTAATAGTTGGGTATGAATTGTGTATTAATAACAAAGTTTAATGTTTTTTTCCAGTACATGAAGTTTACTGGGAAGTCATGAGAAGACGACAAGCAATGGCAATGGCTCGTCTAGGATTATCTCTCCCCTGAATGGTGTAAAGCTGAATTATGGTCACAAATATAGGGATTATAGGTTTTTTTTATGTTTTAAGGAACAATTTAAGTGGACTTTTTTATGTACATATGTGTAATGGTATTTATTTAAAGATATACTGGTGTCAAATGAGTAGCATACACCTTGTTATTATTCAGGAATTAGTAAATTTATTTATTAAAATATCAACTGCAAAAAAAAAAAATGTAATGGTCTAATTTTAGGAAAATAGTTTTAAGTCTGTTCTTTACAATTTGTCAATGAAATAAAATTCACATCTACATTTATTTTATAATTTGTATAGTGTAAGTAACTCTCAGGTTCTAAAAGGGAGAATTTGGTTTTATAGAAGAATATAATTTAACAAATGTATATATATATATATATACACACGTAAGTATACACAAACACACACACACACACCACATATAGTATTTGTAAACTTGATCTGTATGCAAGTAGTTGCAGTTTGAACATGTCAAAATGTTAGGTTAATTTTTCATCTCTCTTGAAGCACCTGAATATAACTTATTTCAAGAGTTTGGATGAAATTTGTGTTTGAGAAACATTTTATATTGTGCACTAAAGTAAAGATTTTTTAAATATGTTCTTAGCTCTTTTTTATGTTTTTAAAACTTGTTTTTTTTCTACTACTTTTACTCTCTGCCTAATCCTTTAAATTTAGGTTACTGGTTCTTGACCTTTAATTTTCCTAGATTTAAAATAAATTTAAGGTTGATAAGACAGAGAATATTAGTGAGTGACATAGTATTCCACTTTTATATATGTATATACAGAGCTGGATTAAAGGACTGGGAAATTGGTGTAACAGCAGTCCCTCCTGGATTGAAGAGGCCTCACCAAACTAAGAGAAAAATATATTAATCAAAAACTAGATATCACATTGAAAAATATATTTTTGCAACTGTATCACTATAACAACAGCAATTTTAGTGATTTTATGTAAAGCTGTTTAATAATAATTCATTGACACTTTCTTACAACTTGTTCCTTCATAAATATTTGCTTGGCTATTTAACAAAACAATTCTTCATTACTTCATTAGAAAACTTTTTTGTAATTACTGCATATTTATTATAAGTATTAGAACTAATTTCTTGTGTTTGTGTATTACTCCAACTGTAGTAAATAAATAGTATTTAATTTTCCCCTTACTAAATTTGTCCTAGGTCCCCAAGTACTTAATCCAACCCTGTATGCATGTATTTTATTTATAATAATTCTAGAGTTATTGTTAAAATGTTATTGTGCCTTGGAGAATTGGCCAATTTAAAGCTACCATTTCAGTTTTTATGACGAATCTAATTCAAACCTATGATAGGAAAATGTGTATTTCAGATTTTCAAAGTAATATTTGTATATGAAAACACTGTAATCGGTTTTTGGTAGGATGCAATTATAAGTAGGTATAGCACAATGATAAATAATAGATTGAAATATTAATATAAACCAAGAAACTTGCATGCAGTATCAAATAAGTCAAAGGATCTCCATAAACACTCTTAAAATCACATAAACATTCTCATTCTGATATGTTAAAATGCAAAAACAAAACAAATTATTTATTTTATAACTTATGAAAAAAATGTATTGTAACATTTTCAACCTATTGCATTTTTTAACTTTGAATCTCTTAGCTTGTCTTAGGTGTGCCCTTTGTTTTTCTTAAGTTTTTCACATGCTTTTGATTTGTAATTTTGCCTATTATCTCCTCTTTGATATTGTTATCAAACTACTGCTTAGAGATAACTTCTATACTAGATATGTTTTATTTTAATTACTTTTTACATTGTAGAGAAAATATTGATGCAAATGAACCTCATTTTCGATGTTTTGAGAGTTGTTGAATACTACATAAAAGGGAAATGTACATTCTGTTCTAAATTGTGATACATTCTGACGGTTTTGTTTTCTTACTTTGTTCGGGTATTTTATTACTTAATCGGGTAATTTTTATAAAAAAAATTATTTGCAAGATAGATACACAGTGCTTAATGTTTTTCTTCTTGTGTATGTCCTGCTGGAGAAATGAAAATTTGAACTTATATTGAAAATATAATGATAATGTTGCTGTATGATAACTGAAATAATTAACCCCTTAACCAGCAGTCCTGGAAAATTTCCATGATTATGTGTCTTTGCTTTCCTGATGCCCCTGAAAAATATATGTGTAATGTGTAACTGAGTTCCATGGCTGTAGATAGATGGCAGAACATGTCAGTAATATGTATGCATTTTCATATATTAAATTTCATCCTTCTTTTTTGTATTACTCATCAGTTGTCAGTGACTGACAGGCATGGCTGGCTTCTGTGGGGAAATGCAAGTTTTTTATGGATAGTGTTAGTGAAATAGATTTAGAATATGAATTTAACAGTGCTAGAAGTTGTACCAAGTGATGCATTTGTTAAGCCAAAACCTAAACATAGAGCTGGGCAAACTAGGCTTTCCCTCACAGCAACTTCACTGCACAATCGTTGGAAAGATATTTTTGCACTCAGGATTCCCTGAACCAAAAATAAGAAATATCCAAGCAGAGTGTTTAAAGTATGTCCTGGAAGGAAGGTAACAAGGTGGGAAAGTGCCACTGCATAATGCTAACTGTTTTGTAACTTATCACACCCAGATATTGTCATAATTGTTGTAAATTGAGGCACAAGAATATGTAAATAATGTAGATATGACATTCAGAACATATGTTAAAAATAGCGTATGTCTATATATAAGTGTATAAGGTTTTGAATATCAAATACATGCAGAAATCAAAGTCCCACAATTTGCTTGAAGAAAAACTTGCTGGGAGGGGGTTATTAATGTCTAAAACACTGTTGTTTAAGGGGTTGAATCACATAAGAGCAATAATGAAACATAATTTCAATGAAAACTTCTTGTCTTTTATATTGTGATAAATAATTTTTTAATTTTGTGATTCTGTCACAAATTGATTTTTATGTATGTTTTCTTAATTATAGATTAAGCACAAATACATTAAACAAATGGTTTTTACCACATAATTCATGATGGAAAACCTGGCATTTGGATATATTGTTTAATGAAAAAAGTTGAAATAATGATGCATACGTTTTTGTAGGACATATTTCAGCTGTTAGTGTTATAAATTTATGTTGTTTTCCACTGTTCTTCACATTTTTAATTTGTCAAATGAAAAGTAATTATAAAAATGAGCATATTATAAAATGTAATGTAAATTTTAAGATTGATTTTAAAATATATATGAAATTTAATCTCTCCATAATAAGACTTAAATCCATAGATCCTTGTAGCTTCCTCAATAACTGCTCTAATGTCCTTGTCTTTCTTGTTGTCTATTGGATGTTAATGTTTTAATGTATACTAATTCAGATATATATATATATATTGTATTTGTGAATCTATATTATTCACCATACAAAGTTGTAACAGTGTCAGCTTTGGATGCAGTAGTGGTAATAGAAAGTATGATGAGGATATCACAGATAATGAAAACTAAAATATGTTGCCTCCTCTGGTATACTTCAATATACATTAAAACTAAAAGTTGTATATTTGCTTATGTTACTTAGCTTCAGAATTGGAAAAAGACAGTAGAATGGTGTGAATAATGTTCTGAATTAAAGTGTGAAAACAAAATGTTTTTGATTTGGCTTTCTCTTATGTGTTTTATGTATATAAAGACAAAACACATCATTAATCCAAAAACCATATCATACAAAACATATAAGCTTTTAAAAGACTAAAGAAAATTTCTACTTAAGTACACAGACTGGACATTTTATTAATAAACTCCACACTCATACATACATACATACATACATACATACATATTTGTGAACATTTATATGTACTAAATAGATCATCTATATAATATGATTGCTTGAGCCCTATAAGTGTAAGACTAGTTAAAGAAATTGAGTGCTGGCCCCTTGTTTTGATGCCTAAATAGAGCTAATTTGAAGAACATCTTTAGTGCAGTATCATCTTTACTTTAGTAATGTATGTATATTAAACATTAATCTCAATAGTTGCTTGAATTGTACAAGGATTTTTTCAGGCTTGAATTGAGTGCATGCTCGGTGAGAAAAGAGATTCAAGAAGTAAAGTATCCTGCTCTTCTGTTCCAATGTTAGAATTGCAAACAAGATAGGTGCCAAGAATTATGAAACGTTTCAATACATTTCAAATGGTTTAGCTTCTTGAATTCCATTTCTAGTTACAGATTGAGTTAGAGGAGGAAAATCAGTGAAAGATCAATAGGAACTGACTGTGCAAGTTTAGGGTAATTATATCCTTGTTATGAAACAACTTATTAAGTGGTATTACGTAGACTTCAATTGGAAGATTGGGTAATATATCAGGTCATCAAGAAATTAATGTTACGTTTTGCAACACTTTCATTACTCCCCCCCCCACCCCAA